ATACTGATTAATGAAAAAAAAAAAAAAAAACCTCAGTGGCATATAATAATAAGCATATCATTCATGCAATTGGGATTAGCAGTGGCTGGATCTCTCTGTTGATCTTGGCAGGTCCCATTTTCTCTCAGATCACTCTTAGATCTTTCTGCCATGCCTCTATCATGGCAGGGCAGCACTTGCTCATGTAGCTGGGGGGCAGCTAGCTGTTTGCTATCCAGACTGGCCTTGGCTGGGGTGCCTGGGGCGATTTCGCATCCTCCAACAGGCTAGCCTGGGCTTGTTCTCGTGAGGTGGGGGAAGTGTGAGAAAACAGAATTGGGGCCATTGATGCAATTATTCTAACACAGAGGTAGACATAGATTTGAATCTATGCAACACTCACTAATCATGTGACCTTCAGTGAGTTATTTTACACTGTGTGGCTTAATGTCTTTATCTATAAATTGGGGCTAAGAAATCTTCTCTCAGATAGTGAGGATTAAATGACAGCAATAACCTCCCCTTGCCACTATATCATCCTGAGAGGGTAAATAACTCTATGTCACGACAAGCACAGAAATAAAAAAAGATTATTGAAAAATGAAAAATAGCTCAAAGGGAGGGAAGGGAATTCTAGGCAGAAGAAATAGTGTGTGCAAAGACCCAGAAGTAGGAGAATACAAAGGCTCTGTGAAGGAAGAAGTGGAAGAGTGGTCCTGAAAGGTGAAGTCCTTCTTTTCTCTGGGAGTGGGGGAAGGTGCCAGGGAGCACTACTTTTAATTTGCTGGCACTGGGGAGCCATGGGAGATTCTGTGGGGTGGGAGTGATTTAATTTATTCAAACAAACTTTTCTCTGGCACCTACCATATGTGAGATGCTGGGGATACAACAGTGATTAATCACAGTCTAGTGGGAGAGTCAGACAGGGTGACAGGAAGGTTGTAGCATAGAATGAGATCAGAGAGAGAGAGGTCAAGACTGGCTGGCTGGGAGGAGTACCAGCTCAGAGATATGCTACTGATGTAAGGGGTTTTGCCCCTCATCCACAAGCAGAGTGCCTACTGTCAGGCCCCAAGTGCGTGAAGCCTCCTCTGCTTGCCAAACTTGATTTTTCTTAACCAAAGCAGGTTCATAAGGTGGGCTGAGGAAGAAGCAGCTGGAGGGAGGGAGGGAAGCTCAGAAGTTTCTGTGGGTCCCTCACACCAGAATCCCTCTGCTGGAACCTCAAGCTTGGATGCCTTTTAAGAGATTCGTGGGTTTGTGGGGAAGCCTGCACCAGTGAGCAGTTAAGCCCAGTGGGTGGTGCTTTCCTTTGTTACTTTTTATGAAGACATCTGGAAAGAATTTGTTAAGAATTATAATAAAGAATAAAGCAAAGTGAAAGCAAATGTGGTGGGGAGCAAAGCTGGATGGAGACTGAGAAGCCAGCAGGAATGGTGGCTGCTGCTAAGAACCTCATTCTTGTAGGAAGGATTCAGTTCTTTCCTGATTAGCAGACGTATGTATTTGCATGGCATAATGCAGCCGTTAGCATTGCTAAGTAACAAGTCTCTCTCAAATAGAATGGTTTAAAGCAACAACCATCTATTATGCATAAATCTCTTGGTCACCTAGATGGTTCTGCTGATCTGGGCTGGGCATGGCTGATCTTGGCTGGACTTACTCATGTGCTGGAGTTCAGTTGTAGGCTGGCTTGCTCAAATGCCCTAAAGTTGGTCAGAGTGACAAGGGTGACAGAGTCACTGCCTCTCATCATCCAGCAGGCCAGCCTGGGCCTGTTTATGTGGTTGGGCAAGGTACTTGGAGTGAATGTGGAAGCAACAAGGCCTTTTGAGGCCTGGGCTTCAGAAGTGGCATGATGCCATTTCTTAAAACATTCTGTTGGTCAGAGTAAGTTCAATGATGGGGAAGTAGACTCTGCCAGTTGATGGGAGGAACTACCATGTCCTGTTTTCAGGACATACACATAGGGAGGGGTGGAAAATTGTGGCCATATGCTGTGAACAGAGCCTGTGGGCTTTGGAGTCACATGGGAATGTCAAGCCAGGATTCTTTACTTAACCACAACCCTCATTCATAAGTTGGAAACACTAATAGTGTCTATTTCAAAAGATTATTTTGAGGATTAAATAATGCACATAGACCTATTGCATAGTAAATACTCAGTAAAAAATAATATTTTATGTATTTTGCATTTTTCTCATAACTGCTTCTGTATTCTCAGGTTTTTAGTTTGGAAAATGTAGTCTCTGTAGGTTGAGCCTTTCCTGAGGCAGTAGGGGAGATTTTCACCTCTGTTGTGATATAATATGAACTAAGGAGGGGGAGATTTGGAAAGTGGTAAGGAATGCATATTTATCCACACTAGAAATGTGGGAAAGGGAAATTAGACTAGGAGGAAAAGTTGGACTCTCATCTTTACGGGAGACCCTGTGACATGAGGCTTTCAGGGACAAAACAGAAGAAGAGCATTTCTTTTTTTTTTCTCTCTTTTTTTTTTTTTTGAGACAAGATCTCACTCTGCCGTCAACTCCTGGGCTCAAGGGATCCTCCTGCCTCAGCTTCCTAAAGTGTCGGGATTACAGGTATGAGCCATACTGCACCTGGCCATTTTCCTTTCTTTCTCATTACTCAACCTTCTTCAAGACTTCCTTAATATCCTAACATCATAAGTATAGTGATTCTAAAAATTAATGCATTTAGTCAATACAAATAAGCACTTATATATTAGACTCTGGGCCAGGAGTTAGAGACACAAAGGAACAAGGCATTAAGGCATTTCCCCTGTATTGAAGGATTTCAGTTTCATGACCTGCCCAGAAAACTCCAAGGACCATCCCTTGCCTCTGAAGTTGTAGATTCTCAAGTGGGAGATTTAGGGCCTTTCACAAAATGGTCTCAGTTTAGCTTGCTGTCCTAGTCTCCCTCTGGGGTCTGTTTCTGTTCTACACTTGAGCCAAAGTGGACTCCTCCCTGGGCCCCACACGTACCCTGTGCTTTTTCGTTCTTCCAGGCAGGCCCATAGCAGGGCTGGATTCTACAACACAGGGCTGGTGGTAGAGAGCAGCCAGCTGGGCTGGAGGCCTGGGCCAGATGTGGGGATTCTGAGCACTCATGTGGGCAGGTTCTATGGGGGTTTAGCGTTGAGACCTGACACTGTTGCCTCATCTCAAAGGCCTTGGCTGATGTTACTCTTCTCTTCATGACCCACTGTGATGTGACACTTCTCAGAGCCTGCCTTAAAGGGGGCTATGGACCAGCCTCACCTCCCCTTTGGAGCTCCAAGAGGTAGAAAGCTCTCTTCCTTTTCTTCCTACAACATCCTTCCTCCCCACAGAGAGTGCATCTCTTCCTAGGAGTCCCATGAGCAATGACAGATACTTCTACCCCAAACCATATGTGCACATGTATACATTCCCACACGAACGGGGAGTGAGGGTCTGCGTGGCCTGCTCCATCCTTTTCTCCCTTAACCTGCTATTAGGTGAGAAGAGTCGTCTGTAGCACAGTGCATACACTAGTTCAGTAAAAGGCAAAAAGAAGTTGAAGTTGCCCTTGGACACTAGTCATGTGGCTATGGAAGGGCTATGGAAGGGAGACTTTGAGTGTGGCTTCCCCATGGACCCATGATGGGCTGGCCTCTGGGATTCCTGTCTTCCCCACCACCAGTGATTCTAAAACCCACCAACAACTTGGTGAGACTCTAAGCATCCTTCCCTCATACCTCCTCGCCTTAATGGAAGGAATCGAGAACAGTGGTTTCTTTCTTTCTGCCTTGCCTCTATCTTCCCTTGGAGACTTTCATCTCTCTCTCCGTGACATCTTTGTTGAGAACAGCTTTGAAACCAGATCTTATCTGCTCCATGGCAGTCTTGGGGTGGAATAAGGGAGATGGAAAGGTGATGTGTACAGGCTACAGCTCTTTGTAAAAGAAGGCTTCCTCAGCCTGAAAAGAACATAGAGGACAGGAGGACTAAAGCTAATAGGAGAGCAGAAGTTCCTTTGTCACCCAATCAGGTGTTCCCAGAAACCAATGTGGGAAAATGGAGATGAGGCATAAACATCGGAATTCACTTTTTTAACACTCAATGAACTGTTGGTAATTCCCCAGAAGCAGCATATTCCCAAGGTGGCTTCATATGATCTCCAGAAGCCACTTACATTTAAGAATTTTTCTAAGAATTCCAGATAGAATATTGATGATTTCCAGACACTGTGGCTTCTGCTAACTATCAACAGAAGCAATTTTAGACTTTGTTTCTGATATTAACCAAACTTAAACTCCATCAACACAGGCTTTAACGAAATTCTCACATACAAATCAGAACTTGCATTTCTTTCTTTAATCAGTGTCTTCATCTGTTTCTGTTGCTATGAAGAGAATAGTTGAGGCTGAGTAATTTATACAGAACAGATGTTGATTTGGCTCATGGTTCTGTAGGCTGTACAGAAAGCATGACACCAGCATCTACTTCTGGTGAGGGCCCCAGCCTGCCTCATGGTGGAAGGTGAAGGGAAGCTGGCATGTGGAGATCACATGGCAAGAGAGGAAGCAACAGAGGTAGTGGGGAGTTGCCAGTCTCTTTTTAACAAGCTACTCTGGCTGGATCTAATAAAGTGGAAATCACTCATTCTTATGACAATGGCACCAAGCCATTCATAAGGGATCTACCCCCATGACCCAAACATCTCCCACCAGGCCCATTTCCATCACTGGGGATCAAATTTCAACATGAGACTTGGCAGGGACTAACAAACCATATCCAAACCATAGCAATTAGAAAGCCTAAAAATTGATGGCTTTATTTTTTTTAATGGAAAAATATCCCCAGAACACTGTTCTAAAACAAAACAAAACAAAAACACTTTTGCTCCTATACCCCATCAGTTTATTTAACTAACATTAATTGTGGACTTCCATAAGCCAGTAACTGTTTTAGGAATTGGGGATACAGAATTGAGTGAAGCAGGGAGGTCCTTGCCCATTGTATTATAGTAATAGAGACACATATACCGTAGAGGTAAAACGCAGGGAGTGAACTGAAGTTACTGTTCTTAACTTAATGAAGTATATCAACCAGAAACCCACAGCAATCATTAAAGGATTCCTTTGAAGACGAAAAGTGGGGACCAAAGGGAGGCCCAAATGTCACCTATATGATGGCTACTTATGTACCTAATCCTGAATTGTGCCCCAAACCTTTACAATAAAATTTTTAAAAATTTAAAACAAGGATTCGTTCAAATCATCTCATTTATTCTTATAAAATCAGGCATACTTTTCTAGTTTTTTGTTTTTTTTTTCCATTTCTTGACCATTTCAAAGTGAGGTCAGTGATGGAGTGAAGAGGTTCATGCTGTCATTGTAAATAACAGTTTTTCTTACAACAGTGGTGTTTTGTATTACCAGAACCTTGCTTGATATCAGGTGTTTTGTGCACATTATCTCATTTCATCAAAACCAGCACTCTGTGTTTTGGGTGCTCCCACTGCTATAATTTTGCCAAGGAAACTAAGGTTTAGAGAGGGTAAATAAGTTGTCCCAGGTCACGTAGCCATTATTTGGCAGAGCTGGAGCAGAGCTCCATACTACTCCAGAGCTAGTGATTTCAGCAGCTGCTCTCTAATGTTCTGTTTGGGTGAAGCACCTGTCCCAGATCCCTGTGGCTCACCCATCTCCCATAGTGGCATGTCTTGCTCTGGACCCTTGAAGTGATGATCTGGGTGCAACCAAAGTCACTAAGCACTTACCTCAGCCTTTCAGTTCCTTCATTACTTCGTGGAGAATTATATATTCCAGTCATTCAAATAGATTTAAGGTCTAGGCCTTATCAAGTGGGGATTATGTCACTCAATACATCAGCCCTTACTATCTGTGGCTTCTGCATCCGTGGATTGAACCAGCTGCAGCTTGAAACTGTTTTTTAAAAAGCGAATAGTTGTGTCTGTACTGAACATGTACAAACTTTTTTCTTTTCATTATTTCCTAAACAACAAAGTGTAACAACTATTTGTGTAGCATTTATATTGTATTAGGTATTATAAGTAACTTAGAGATGATGTAAAGTATATGGGAGTATGTGTGTAGGTTATATGCAAATATTGTGCCATTTTATATCCTTGGAGTTTGGAATGGGGGGTGGTCCTGAAACCAACCCCTTATGTATCCTGAGGGATGACAGTACCTCCTCTACCTAGTGGAAATGGTTCTCAAGTCATGTTACCATGAGAGGGGATGTGATCTTTCCTGAGAATTAAAGCATGCTGTTAGGCTTTAAATGGAACATCTCTAAGTTTCCTTACCAAGAGTTAATAGACAATGCACCTTGTGACAAGGGCTTTTGCTTCACCAAACACATTGTGACAGACCCCTCTTACCCAGTATGCCAGATGTGAGATGCACATCCGTTCACATATCCCTTCTCTTGTCAGAGGAGGGAACTGGGCCTCAGAAAGCTTCCCCACCCAAGCTATTACAGCTGAAAGGGTTCAAATACAGGGTCTCTGACTCAGAGCCTGCTCTTTCCTGCCATTATTCTGTCTTGTTGGGATGGGGAGGGGCAAAGAGGGCACCTACTACTGGAAGAAAGAAAGAGGCAACTACATGTCCTATTTGAGGTGTGCTGAACCCAGTTCTAACTGCTCAGTTTTCCTTAGGTCTTATGCTGGAACTGAAAAGCAGGTTATTTTGGTCAGGAAATAGACAAAGGATACAGACGGTCAAGTATTTCTATCAGATGCTGGTTCAGTTGTAAGACATTGTCAAGGTTCCTCCACTGCCCCCCTCTCTCAGCTTGCACCCCTCACAACCCTTCTGCAGAGACAGGAAGAAGTTTAGTGTTTTGAGACATCTGGAGTCAACATCTCTGAGCTTTAAATGGAGCAGGAGTAGAGAAACTGACAGCTGAGTGTAGATAACAGGCTTAGAAAGACTCTAACTCAGTAGTGAGTTGAATCTCCCCTTTAGTTAGGCAAATTTTTCTAGCTTTCTGCACTTCACAACACACTGTGTTAAACTCAGTTACAGAGGTAGAAAGTTTCATTCATCAAGTGAATTCTAGAAGCAGATTTATTAGAATGAAGCTATACTGTTTGGTATGTTTTTAAAGCAATTCATGGGAGTCTATATGCTGTCGTGTGTCATTGGAGGGTGGCAGAATACAGATTCCTTGTGAGATCAGACACACAAGCTAAACATTTAGGGAAACCTTACTCGTAGAAGCCAATCTCTAGCCAGAAGGTTTCTACACTGAAGACTTTGTGTTGCTTTTGGGAATGGTGTAGAAGTCACATGTTCAGCCTTTAATTATGATTCACCTTTACTGAATGTCCCCTCTCTTTTCTTTATTCACCGTTGAGCAGAAACCCAAGATGTAGTTTTTGGCATATGTCCTTGGTAGGGTTCAGTATTTCTCACTCCCCCTTTAAAACCCTGAAAGGAGGGTTAGTTTAGAAAGTTGAGGGAAACCATGCAGAGGTTCTCAAATGTTCAGAGAGGTCTCCTCTTCCCTCCTGTGAAAGTGCTAAGGCCCATGGGTGAGGCCCAAGAAAGGCATTCAGGCGTCCATCCAGTTCATTAATTCATGCAGCTCATTTCTGAGTTTTTTGATAGACTGGACATTCAGAGGTTGATGAAATAGACATGATGACTCTTCATAGAGCTTACCTTCTAATAGCAATGATAGCACATGAACATGTAACACACAAATAAATGGAGGCTGAGTGTCGTGTGACAAGGGAAATGGCCAGGATGATGTGCTGAGAAGAGGTCAGTCCTGCTAAGTGTTGAGGCTGAGGGGAGGCAGTGATGTTCCCAGGGTAGCAGGGAGGCCAGTAGGGATAGAGCTTGGTGGATGAGGGGGAAAGTGGGAGGAGAGTGGGGAGGTGTGTGAAGCTAGTTCCCAAAATGGCAGGGGTGGGCCACACTCAGTGGGAGGAGTGATCAGCCGAGCAGTGAAAAGGTTTCCAGCAATGGGGGTTGTGGTTTTCCTTGTGTTCTTGTTTGGAGAATGGACAGGAAAGTAGCAGGAGGGCAAGCAGGGAATCTGAGGAGCAAGAACCCGCCTCCCCTCCCCATAGACTGGAGCGAGTGCTCATTCTGCCTCTGCTCCTTCATTACTATGCATCTTTGGGCAGGTTTCCTAATCTCTCTGGGGTTCAACTGTTCACCCCTCATAAAATAGGGACAAGTATTTTCTCATGTGGTTTCTAGAAGGCATAAGTATTCATAAAGTCCTCTATAAACCTGAACCATATGCTTATCTGAGCTATAATATGATTCATATTGAAAGGAGGTTCACTCCTCCAATGTTGGAAAAATCTCACAGCTGCCCCCGTGTGAGCAACATTTTATTGCAGTCTGAGGACACTGAGGAGATGCTTTTGTTTCTTTACTGCCATCAGTGTCTCTCTAAGGGAGGATGGCTGGTTAACACTCACATGGTATGGTCATTTATATGTAACCATTTTGTGGGGTAATAACTTGGACTGATTGAGCCATTTTTCTCACATTCATGTCTCTGTTCACCACTTGCAGGTGATGCATAAGTGTGATATAGTAGTGTGCATGCGTGATGTGCTGTGGATGGAGGAATGCCTGAGGGAGTCCCATGAAGGCTTCTGTGGGCAGAAGGCCACGTACTCTCAGCACCAGTGGGCAGAAGGCCACGTACTACCTGCACCAGTCAGTGCCGATTGGCCATCACTGTCCGCTACCCTGGCAGATGGCTGTATTCTTGTCCCACGTACCTTGACATTCTTAAGGTTCCATAAGACTTATTTTGGTTTTGGACAAAGCAAGTCTGTCTTTCATCTTGGTGTGGGCCATTCAGAATCCTTATGTTATGAGAAGACATCCTATTTCAAATGCAATTTTCTGTTGTGGCACCAAGCAGATGCTGAGTTTTTCTGCCTTGTCTCCAAGAAGGTCTTGGGGTTCCCAGAGAAACCAGATGAAAAATGTTCATGGGCATGAAGCTGCAATAGTGGAAAGATTCTATGTATGCCCCATTCAGTACAAAAGCGACTTCCCACATGTGGCTATGGAGCCCTTGAAATATGGCCAGTAGGATGGAATAACTGATTTTAAATTACATTGAATTTTAATTAATTTACATTTAAAGAGCCACATGTGGCTAGTGGATGCTGTATTGGACAACACAGTTCTAGAGAAATGTTTTTTCCTCATTGAAAACCCTTCCTCTGGACCTGAAGGGTCCTATGAATCAGGAGCTCATGGTTTCCCTTGATGCCTACCAAGACCGTAACCAGGACATCTATGTCTCCCATGTTTTGGGGAATACTGTCATGTGTACTTTCTGTTGGACAGTTGGGGGGATCACCTTTGCCATCTCAGTATTTCACTACTGTCCTCAGTATGAGATTAAAAGTGATATTGAACAGGAGTCATTAGAAGGCTGTGCACAGAGGGGGACAGGTCCCCTCACTGAATGCTATTCTGAGCACTGGCTTTCTCCTGTTTGATCTTTTTGGGTCCTCAGCTATGACTGTGGAGGAAAGCAAGTCCCCAGTGGGAGTATTTGTCACTTTCTACTCTTGGTGTTTAATATTGTCCATCTGGCATAGACGCTTGAAAGTCAGTAGTTTCTTGGCCTGTGCCCACATCTTGGCCTATGTGAGAGATTTCTGGGGGATTGTGGCCATGTGGCTCCCTTATGTCCATTTCCTTAGGGACACAAGTGTCTTCAGGAAGTCATTGATGAGTAGCAAATGGGTGGCTGGATGAGCTAATAGTGCTTTCCAGCACCAGGAGACAGCTTGGATTCATGGTCAGAAGTTGAATAACTCTGTTGTTCACAGAGGGAGAAGTTGAAGAAGACTCCAATGCAGATGAAGAAACAGTGATAGGACAAAAATAATGGGCTTGACTTTTTTCCCTCCTATCTATAGGGGAGGGAAGGAAGATCAATGATGTACCCAAACTTGATGGTAGGATGAGTGTTAATTGTGAATGGCATCTAATTCTCTTCTTTCCTGGGATTCAATGTCTGGGCAAGTCCTGCCTCCTGGATTAAGGCATCAGCATTGAGCATTTGGGGGGTTAATTTACATTCTACACAGCAAAATATGCTGGAAAGATGACAAATGAATGTCTGATGGCTATCAGTATAGGTTTTTTTTGTTTCGTTTTGTTTTTTTTTTTTTGTATGACCTAAATTCAGAATATAACTTTTTCAGGGAAGAAAGGGGTTAAAATGTCTCATGCCATCTATTATAGTAATGAAATGTGCAAAGCCCATTGAATCCCATAGAAACAACATCACTGCTGAGAAACTATCCAGACCTAGGAGTGATATGGGGTGCGGGGTGGGGGCTGGGGGCTGGTGATTGTGCTTCTGTGAAAGGACTGAAGACTTTTTTTAAAAAAAAGATTCAAGTTTAGCAGGAACGATCTTTAATTTGGGGGATCCCTGTTTTCACCATTAGTGGTCATTCCTTAAATCTACTTTTATTCCTGTCCGGGATTCCAGACATGGAAAAGTCAGGCAGGGATTCTGCAGTTCCTGGTGATTGTCTGAGTTGTAACCTGGGCTTTTTCTATATAGTACAACCTTGTTCACATCTGTGTTTGAGCTGATCTGCATATCAATAGGTGCTCTGGGTTTGTATGGGGATATATGTGTGTTCTTCATGGCTGCATTTCCAGAATGTGATTTTAAAGATTGTGGTCAAATTTACCTTGGTTGGGGAAGATAGCAACTTATAAAAGCCTCAGTGATTTATGTTCCCCTTTCCAATATAAGAAGTGTTATTAATTTGCCCACTTAAAAGGTTAAGATCAAAGATATCATAAATGCAGCACAAATCCTATTTCAGGAACATAAAATTCAGCTGTTTCTTCTAAAAGAAGGTGCCCATGTGAATACCCATGCACACAAACAGAGATTTAATAGAAAATGACTCAACTAACTATAACTTTCAAAACAAACAAACAAACAGACAGACAGACAAACCCTTTTCCATCATCTTTGGTTCTAGTTATGTCAATAATGCTGGGTCATGAATTTCAGATGGCTCATCGGAGCTGTGTGAATCATTTTAAATAGGTTTGTTCTTGGGGTCCTAGATAGTACATCAGTATTTCAGAATCAGTTTAGATGAGTTTGTCCTTGGTACAAATTGTGCTGTGTTTAAAGTCCTGGAGACACTTCCTTCTTCCAATAAAAGGCTTTTATTGGACTTTTCGGTGACATAAAGTTGAAGACATAAATACCGTTTTATATAGTAAATAGGACCAACTTTTTATAGTGTGTTTTATAAGTCTAGAGGATTATTTTGTTTCTTTGGGGTTTTCTTTGAAACTTCATTTTAAGGTAGTCCTTGAAGTGGAGAGTGCTAAATCCTGTGTTATCTCTCTCAAAGAACTTGGGGGGCTGGGCAGAATGTTAGACCTCAGAACTCCAGGTTTCTAGCACCAGAGCCTGGCATTTTGTGTTCAGAAGGGACTCTGCCCTTCATGCTACAGTAAAGCATAGGTCAGAACCCCTGAAATGTGTGACTCTTCCAAAGTAAGTGGTGTTACACCCTTACTTTTCATCCACTGAGCCAAAATTCTTTACTAGAATCTCACGGTTAGCCCTTTCCCAGCCTTTCCTGTGAGATGAGCCAGACTCTGTGCTTGCCTGCTTCTGTTCCTTCAGGAATGCCCACACAATCATCTTCCCTCATACACCCCACCCTCATCTGCCCCCTCACAAACATCCTCCTATCTACCTGTCCTTTAATAGTGAAGGGTTTCTTCTTGCAAATTTTCATAGCACTTTGGATCTCTTTAGATTTGTATCAGAACTATTTGCAAACAAGTCTTATCTCAAGAAAAATCCTAAGTCCCAATAAGGCAAGATATCTTATTTACCTTTGAAAACCCTACCTTACTCTGCCCTGCTCAGAGTAAATTTTAAATACATGGTTTTTGAGTGAGTGAATAATAGTTGTTTAACTCCTATATGTACATTCTTATGCCAGGCACAATGGAAGGTTTATGAAGGAATCACATGGTCTCTACCTATGTTACTCTTAAATAACTATGCATCACAAAATATGGATGTTTTAATTATCTATATTATGGAACAAACTACCCTAAACTTAATGGTATAAAATAGCAGCTTTTTTATTGTGCTTATAAACACTGTTTATAAGGGCTTTGGACAGGGCATACTGGGGATGCCTGATGTCTCCTTCATGATGCTGGGGCCTCTGCTGGGGAAGATGTGAACAGCTGGGCCCTGGAGAATCCATGTCCAAGCTTTTCCATTCATATGTCTGGCACCTTGGCAGGGACAGAGTAGAAGAATGAACTTAGCTGGGCCTGGCACCTCCAGCATAGTAGTCTTTTGAAGAGCGGTGAATGAGACCCTGCTTCTTGATGGTAGAAGTAGCAAGGTCACATCACAAAAGGGCTTGTGGAGTGGGAGATGTTTTGCGACCATCTTTGGAAAAGATAATCAGCAACAACAGTAAATGCCCAAGAGAGTGGGACCAACAGCAATTGTTATTAGTGATTGAGAGGCACTTGGGGAAAATGTCTTGGGGGACATGCTTGGGGGACATGTTTGGGTGATGCTGAATTTGCCTTGATCTCTGACTGGAGAAAGGGGGTGAATGAGGGACCCATCAGCAGGAATGAGCTGCCTTGTTTTGGTGACAAGACGGGACAGAACTAGAATGGCTGGCTGGATTGAAAGGCTTGTTGTGTCTCCTGAATTCTTGTTCAAAATTTTGAGGGCAGGACTGTTTAATTTTATATTTATCCAAGAGAAAGATGAGATTTTTTTTCATTCTTTAACTTGTTTAATTAAAAATTATATTTCATCTTAGATTTGTTCAAAGTTTTCATCTAATAGTCAGATGGGAAAGGAAATTACTTACCAAAGTAGAAGAGGGAGAAATGAGAGGGCAATATGATAAATGATTTCTGTTCTTTTTTTTTTCTTTTGAGCCAGAGTCTCACTCTGTCACCAAGGTTGGAGGGCAGTGGCACAGTCATGGCCACTGCAGCCTCAACCTTCTGGGCTCAGGCAATCCTATTATTTCAGCCTATCAAGTAGCTGGGATTACTGGTACATGCCACCCTACCCTGCTAATTTTTTTGATTTTTTTTTAGAGATTCAGTCTGGCTATGTGGCCCAGGTTGATCTTGAACTCCTGGGCTCAAGCAATTCTCTCACCTTGGCTTCCCAAAGTGCTGGGATTATAGGTGTGAGCCACCTCATGCCTGGCCTGGTTTCTGTTCTTTTTATTACCTACTTTCAAAGATTCTGGAAATGTAATGATGGTTCAGGGTCTTCTACTGGGATGCCTGACAGCTTAAACAATCTCCTGAGATCATATTGACAGACTCTGAAATAACATGTAGAGATCTAATTTCTCTGGGCCCAAATTTTGCCATTTGGATAAAAATCATACCTACATTGAGATTATACCAGATAACCAATAAAAACATGTAACCTGGGCCTGTGCCCTGGTGATCAAGCCATGTTAGTTGAACCCAAATATGATGAGTGCAAGTGCTGAAGGGAACAAAACAAAAGGACACCCCACCCAGAGCATCCAATGGAATGTTTCCACCTTTTCCCACGAATAAGAGCCCAGTGTCTGTTTTCTTTATCACTGCATCAGGATCTCATGTTATCTGGCAAACCCCAAAGTTCTACTTAGGAGGAATAATAAATGATATTTATTAAGTGGTCTAATAAGGTTTTATGGATGAATACATCACGGCTTC